GTGGACTGACGTTCGTAGCAAGGGGGACTAGGTCAGTTAACCTGTCAGCAAACTCCACATAAATAATCTTAATGGTATAACTAACATAAGCTCCCCGAAATCTTCGTTAACGAATTCGGTCAGTGTGTTTTAATGTGTGATGACACGTACAAACTCGCTGGAATATTTTTCTATCATGGTCGCATGGCTCTTATCATGGTGAATGATAGATAGGAGTCCATCTCTGTTATATACCATGGGGTTGGTGCAGGTGCGTCTGAGCCGCTGATGGTATTGATATACTGATGGACATTCAAAGGTACATGTAGCGATGTTTTAACCGACTGTCCAGCTCTGGAGGTCAGATGCGTGTTGTTCGTCTTCCAATGGTACGTTTTGACTTACGCCAATCGATCCAACCGCCGCCAATAATCTATAGAATTTAGGTGGTACTTTAAGTAAAATTATCATAGTAGAAGTATAGAGATATGGTTCTGCTCTAATACAGCCGCATTCCGCTTTTAGAAAAGCTAAGCACTCTCTAGAATGGACAAAGTTAGAGCGGTTGGAAATTTAGATTCTTTTTCTACTATTTTACTGGTACGATATTAAAACATATACACTTATCTTGCTGGCAACATTTAACGCAGCATCTTCTTATCGGCTGATGCGAACCATCCTTCACATTGTTTATGTTCTTGGACGCCTATCACGTCAAATTCCCTGTAAACGTATAGTTCGAGCCCAGTGCGCATGGCTAGTTGGTTGGCTCTTCGCACGCTCTATCTACCGGCTTTGAAATCGGCGTTTCGATAGCTCGACAAGGTGCGTTAGTAGGCGTTGCGTGGCCGCTTAAGCTATACTGCCATTCGGTCAGAACTGATTTGTAGTCTGAAAAAGCGACAGTAAAAGAAGGCACAAATTGTCTGACAGCATTACTACTTGGTGATCCACAGTCGCGGCTGATTGATTTTGCGCAGTGATCAATATTTGGCTTCCGTTTTTGGACCAAATATTTTGTCGTTTGACTCAGGGTTTGGAAAGTTTTGCGAGTGTTTATCTAATGGAGGAAGCAAAGCTTGCGATATGGAGGTAAAATATGATCCGCACAAGCTGGATCAAATTAATGGTGTGCACTAAATTGAGCAACTTTAGTGGGCTTGAGTGGTTGTTTGCGTAATTTTTACAAGGAGACTTATGGGAAAAACCCAAGTGAAATGTTAAAGCAGAATGAACGAAACCGCTTGGGGATTACGCAGGAAATGGTAAGCGGCATTGAATTTAGGCTTCAGGAAACTGTAATACAATGCAATGTAATAAAAAATACAATGCAATTTAATATAATGCAGGAAGTGATGTGAATCATGTAACGTGGTTGGGATTTTTGTTGTTGGTTAAAATAAAACAGTACTCAATTCGATAAGACCTTTTCCCCATGAGGCTCTACCAATGCATATGTCACATGCCACCTTGAAATAGAAGCAAAATATATCCACCGAATATTGCGCCAGGCTTAAAAGATACAGCATTAATTACTTGCAACGAGGGAGCATAAGGAAATACAAATCATGCTTCATTTAACCGCACATAATAAGTGCAAAACTGGACCATCGATTGTGTGGTATGTAGGAAGCAATTAATTCTACCATCGTTTACTACAATGAAGCGGTGTTGGGGGGGCTATGCGAATTAAAGAATAGAAAGCACATAAACAAAATATTATGCGTGTTTTCTCTAAACCAAATTTAATTTGGCTACTCTTCGGTAAAACACTTCAAACTCGTGCAGCTAACACAAGTGCTTGACAAGCTTTTGGCCATGATGATGCTGCTTGCGAACAACGTCTGTCCTTAAGAGGTTTCTTTATAGATGTGGCATTCCTCTAAAGCAATGTTTTAGACAAAAAATAACCAAGTGTATAAAAAGAAAACTAGCACCGACCTGCCTTCGATTAATTTGCGGTACGGCCGCTTCACTCTGTGGTCATTCCAGTTCTCTACACACACACACACACACACTTGTGCTCGCGCTCTTACGATTTATTTACAAGCGCGCTACTCAATGGTTTCTAACTCTTGGATGTAAATTGTGTGCGGCACACAGTTACACCCGTTCTCAACTTTGGCACTTTCTTAGTCTGACTTTGCTTAAGAAATTACTTCACTCCAGAGCTTTGTGCGAAGCATTTTTATCTCATTCGATAGAATAAGCTGAGAACTCTCGAACGACTCTGCAAACGCTACCACATGCAGCAGCATAAAGTCACGAGACATTTTGCTTCGTTCGCCTACTAAGCATCTCGTCCGCGACACTTAGCGAAGCTTGCGAACGCCCTGCGCGCATCGCTTAACGCAACCCGATGAAAACGTGGCGCGCCTACGTGTGCTTATGTGCGTGTCGCTGAATCCGGCACTCAGCGCGTGCCCGCGAGAATGAGAGAGGAATTGTGATAGATATCTGCCTCGGCGGGCTGACCTAGATGCCCGATCATATATTCACGTGTCAGGATGAACGTTACTAACCGATGCGCAGTGCCTAACTGCGCCTGAGGAGCTTGCAATGGGATGATCAATGTAGGGGTTTCTTGTGAAAATTGCCAAACCTGTTTTCGGGCGAAGGGCCGGAAAATCAATGCAAGCGAATGCATTTTGATCAGCACCAGGCCAGACTCTTTTTGTACTGTGCTATGCGTGATACTGTCTTATTTATTAAAACCGAAATTTTACTGTTCCATAAGTATGATAGGATTGCAGACGTAGTTGAGGGAATTCTGGGCAGCAAAATCTCCTCCATAAAACAAGCATAACATGTCTGACACGGCACCCTCCACCGAAATCCAATGCAAGTCGACGCCACAACGGCCAATGTTACACTAATAAACTCGCGTCTGCAAACACTGTCAATAATCCAAATCCTCAAGCGTTCCCGAACACTTTACCCCCAGCCAATTTGCGACAATTCCCTCAAACCCACTTCCTCCCACCAGACTTCACCGAAACTCAGGAAGCATGAAATACCAGTGGTAGCTGGGCAGTTGGTTCATCAACATGAACAATTACATCAGTCCCTACCGATTCTATACCACACCCATAACTGATGAGGGCGCTCAAGCTGCACGGATGAAGTGTAAACAGCTCAGTCTACTAACTACGGTCCATACTCCTAGAAAGGACACTCAGAAAAATTGCATATCATGGCAATAACATGTACCAACTACCGGAGTCAACATGGAATTGTTCAAAATGGAAAGCAGATGAATGACCTGAACCAACGTCATACCATAGGTAACCTCCTCGGTATTTTGACTATACCCTCAAATTGACGGGGATTACCAGCCACCCGAATTCCAAACATTTCGGCGAAGCCAGGCTTTTTCGGGTTGTGCTAAACTCTGTTTTTGAGGTAGAAGAAACGTTGCTTTTCAGTTTATCTCTCAGAAACGAATTAGGTTTGGTCCGCGTCTTATCAGACGTGCTTTGGGGAGAGCGCAAAGGAGCAAGGCAGGGTGTATAATTGTTCCGGAAAAATACCTCGTCCAAAACCGTTTTTCTCCACGGCATCCGCTATTCTTATGAGAACGATGATTATGAATCAATGACTTGCTATCAGGAGCAGTATCGCTATTTGCATGAGACCCTGCTCTTGTTTGACGTTTTGGCTCCTTTGATCTCAAGGCTGCCAAGAACAGATAGCTACCAAAGTTTAGGCCCAACGATAATAATGGTCGTCTTACGTATTAGGCCGATACAATACCGATAAAGCTACAGAAAGATAAACAGTAAACAAGCAACATTTCACTGTAGGTCCCGACAAACGAGTACCCCACCTCGTAGGTCAACGATAAAGGGATCCAACGATAGTGCCCGAACTGTTTTATGCTTGAATGTCCCTGAATTTCTGCCATCACATTGCGGGATAAGGTAACGGACGACCAAGACCAATGGAACTCATTGCGCTTGCTGATCAGTGTCAAAGCCAAGACCGTAAACTAATTACGAAGTACTCTTCATTCGGACTCGTCAGGGTTAGTCTTATGGCAATAGAATCCTCCACCGGGTAGAAAAACTATTGCTCTCCGCAACTGCGATAAGACACGGATCCTGTGGGATACATATCTTCCAAGATGTCCTTGGAGCGCGCGACCATCAAAAGGAAACACAGAAGAGGGACACAGACAAGGAGACGGCCTAGACATTATCTTAATAAAACGCGTGCCAAAACATTCTTCTAACGATGTTCAAGAGACCGGAAAGCACGATGTACAACAGTGGCGGTTCATTCGTGAAACACATTCTATGGATAATATTGTGGCGCTATCGCTCACCAGGATGCCACTTACATCAAATTATAAGAGTGCAGCTCCAGAAAACCAAACGTTGTGTTTTAGCCAGCGCAATAATCATTGGAGGCTTTGGATCGATGGCGAAGAAATCAGAAAAGTCTTTCTTCTGTGATTTGGTTAAATGTCGCAGAAGATTTGCACTGCTCAAATATTAAATTGGCTGAAGCAGCAAGCATACCGACGAATGTACAGAGGCGTAACTTGTTTTGCTTTAATTAGTTATGACCTAGGTTTAAACAAAGATTGGGGCGCGCCTTGGCAGTATCAATTTTCAGACAATATATTTATCGAAAAAGCTGGTAACGGCCGAACTCCCACCGTCCGGCATTCTCCCACACATCAGCCTTTCACCACTCTGCGTGATTCTAGTGATGGAGAA